AGCAGTGTCAGGGTTCTGAATTAGATAATCAGCCATGACCATATTGAATAGCAGAACAGGCACAGAGAACCAAATAATCTACACTTCTGCTCCTATTTTCTATGTTTCTATTAAATCAAGTATCAAAGAAAGGTATAACCAAAGGGTTGTAGTGAGAAAGAGATCCACTGAGGTCTTTCTGGAGGGAAGAGGACAACTTCAAGGTGGGCATCCTTGGGAGAGGCTTCGCAGTGGGGTTATAACTCACACAGAGATAGTAAGAACTGCAGATGCTGGAGTCAGAAATAACACAGTATGGAGTTTAAAGAACACAGCAGGCCAGGCAGCATCAGAGCAGCAGGAAAGTTGACGTTTCGGGTCAGGACCTTTCTTCAGAAACCCTATCCCTGTCACCCTGCATTTCCCATGGCGAATCCACCTAGTCTATGCATCTCTGCACACTATGGGCAATTAATCTTTAAAATCATAAGATTGTTCAAGATACAAAATGGTTGAATCTATCTGTTGCAGTTAAGTGTTGTCATTTACAGGCAGACCACGAAACAAGGAATGATCTGGACTAACACTTCTCCTAATGCATGTCAATAGAGTTATGGCTTTGTGTGGCAATATTAGACAGACTCATTTTCTTTCTGCATGGCAGTCCTTGCACTGCAAGAGGTGAAGGACTTTGAAGCAATTTGCAATAAGAACATGCAATGTAAATTAACACTAAATCTTATATTAAAAGACACACACGTAAGAATTTCAATTTATTTGATAGAATACTTTTCTACCAAAAATTCAAAATGTTGCATGTGTTGTGTGCCTTGTCGTAAAGATGTATGACATAAAATAACTGAAATACGAATTTTAAACTGACAGACTTTTAAGACATAGCAATGTAAATCAGCAAAGCTTTCAATTTAATTTCACCCAGTTCCACATCATTTGTAAGATGTGTTAAAATTACATTGTCCCCTCTAAGAATACACAATCTTTTTAAACAAAATGTTATCACTGTCATAAGTTGATAGTGTACCTTTTAAAAACTTAAAGGTAATATTTGATTGATATTCATAGTATAAAATACTCCTACTAGACTGTAATTAAAAATAAATGTAACGATCATTGCTGATTTTAATGCAACTATTTATGAGATTCCAATGCATACAGCATTTCAGTTAGGCGAATCTATTCTTCCCACCAGATCTGATCAAAATAAATACGGCAAATAAACTCCTTTCCAGAACTGTAGATAATAAATCACTCCACCTAAATTAAAAATATTTGATATAATTTAAGTACTCAACACAACTTTATTCATTGAAAGAAATGACTTTAAATCAAATAAGTCCGTTCACTCTCATACACTGAAATCCTCATGAGAGATAGTAGGAACTGCCAATGCTGGAGAATCTGAGATAACAAGATGTAGAGCTGGATGAACACAGCAGGCCAAGCAGCATCAGAAGAGCTGGAAAGCTGACGTTTCGGGCCTAGACTCTTCTTCAGAAATGGGGGAGGGGAAGGGGATTCTGAAATAAATAGGGAGAGGGGCGGAGGTGGATAGAAGATGGATAAAGGAGAAGATAGGTGGAGAGGAGACAGACAGGTCAAAGAGGCGGGGATGGAGCCAGTAAAGGTGAATGTAGGTGGGGAGTTAGGGAGGGGATAGGTCGGTCCAGGGAGGACGGACAGGTCAAGGAGGCGGATGAGGGTGGTGGGTAGGAGATGGGGTTGGAGCTTGAGGTGGGAGGAATGGTTAGGGAGGCGGGGACAAGCTGGGCTGGTTTTGGGATGCGTTGGGGGAGGGGAGATTTTGAAGCTTGTGAAGTCCACATTGATACCCTTGGGCTGCAGGGTTCCCAAGCGAAATATGAGATGCTGTTTCTGCAGCTTTTGGGTGACATCAGTGTGGCAATGCAGGAGGCCCAGGATGGACATGTCGTCCAAGGAGTGGGAGGGGGAGTTGAAATGGTTCGCGATTGGGAGGTGCAGTTGCTTGTTGTGAACTAAGTGTAGGTGTTCCACAAAGCGGTCCCCAAGCCTCCACTTGGTTTCCCCGATGTAGAGGAGGCCACAACGGGAACAGCGGATACAGTATACCACGTTAGCAGATGTGCAGGTGAACATCTGTTTGATGTGGAAGGTCTTCTTAGGGCCTGGGATGGGGGTGAGGTGGGAGGTGTAGGGGCACTTCCTGCGGTTGCAGGGAAAAGAGCCAGGGGTGGTGGGGTTGGTGGGGAGTATGGAGCGGACAAGGGAGTCATGGAGAGAGTGGTCCCTCCAGAAAGCAGATAAGGGTGGGGAGGGAAAAATGTCTTTGGTAGCGGGGTCAGATTGCAGATGGCGGAGGATGATGCGTTGGATTCGGAGGTTGGTGGGGTGGTATGTCAGGATGATGGGGATTCTGTTTTGGTTGTTATTGCGGGCAGGGGGTGTGAGGGATGAGTTGCGGGAAATGCGAGAGACACGGTCGGGGGTGTTTTTCAACCACTGTGGAGGGGAAGTTGCGGTCCTTGAAAAACGAAGACATCTGGGATGTCCGGGAATGGAATGCCTCATCTCAGGAGCAGATGCGGCGGAGGCGAAGGAATTGGGAATAGGGGATGGCCTTTTTGCAGGAAGGTGGGTGAGAGGAGGTGTATTCTAGGTAGCTGTGGGAGTCAGTAGGCTTGAAATGGATATCGGTTTCCAGGTGGATGCCAGAGATGGAGACAGAGAGGTCCAGGAAGGAGAGAGAGGTATCGGAGATGGTCCAGGTGAACTTAAGGTTGGGGTGGAAGGTGTTAGTAAAGTGGATGAACTGTTCAAGCTCCTCGCGGGAGCATGAGGCGGCGCCGATACAGTCATCGATGTAACGGAGGAAGAGGTGGGGGATAGGGCCAGTGTAGCTTTGGAAGAGGGATTGTTCCACGTATCCTACGAAGAGGCAGGCATAGCTTGGGCCCATGTGGGTACCCATGGCCACCCCCTTTGTCTGTAGCAAGTGGGAGGAATTGAAGGAGAAGTTGTTAAGGGTGAGGACGAGTTCAGCTAATCTGATGAGGGTGTCAGTGGAGGGGGACTGGTTGGGCCTGCGGGACAGGAAGAAGCGGAGGGCCTTTAGGCCATCTGTATGGGGAATGCAGGTGTATAGGGACTGGACGTCCATGGTAAAGCTGAGGTGTTGAGGACCGGGGAATCAGAAGTTTTGGAGGAGGTGGAGGGCGTGGGTGGTGTCTCAGATGTAGGTGGGGAGTTCCTGGACCAAGGGGGAGAAAATGGAGTCGGGATAAGTGGAGAGGAGTTCGGTGGGGCAGGAGCAGCGGAGACAATGGGTCGACCAGGGCAGTCAGGTTTGTGGATTTTGGGAAGGAGATAGAAACAGGTGGTGTGGGGCTGGGGAACGATGAGGTTAGAGGCTGTGGGTGGGAGGTCACCTGAAGTGATGAGGTTGTGGATGGTCTGGGAGATGATGGTTTGGTGGTCGGGGGTGGGATCATGATCAAGGGGGCAGTAGGAGGAGGTATCAGAGAGTTGGCCTCTGGCCTCGGCGATGTAGAGGTCAGTGTGCCATACTACAACTGCGCCTCCCTTGTCCGTGGGTTTTATGGTGAGGTTGGGATTGGAGCGGAGGGCTGCACGTTCTGCGGGGGAAGAGGTTGGAGTGGGTGAGAGGGGTGAAGAGGTTGAGGCGATTGATGTCACGACGGCAGTTGGAGATGAAGAGGTCGAGGGAGGGTAGGAGGCCTTGGGGTGGTGTCCAGGAGGAGGGGGTGTGTTGGAAGCGGGAGAAGGGGTCAGTAGAGGGAGGGTTAGGCTCACGGTTAAAGAAGTAAGCGCGGAGGCTGAGGCGGCGGAAAAACTCTTCAACGTCCAAACGGGAGTTGTATTCGAGACAACAAGGTGCAGGGCTGGATGAACACAGCAGGCCAAGCAGCATCATAGGAGCAGAAAGGCTGACGTTTCGGGCCTAGACCCTTCATCAGAAAAGGGGGAGGGGAAGGGGTATCTGAAATAAATAGGGAGAGAGTGGGAGGCAGATAGGATTTGGATAGAGGAGAGGATAGGTGGAGAGGAAACAAACAGGTCGAAGAGGCAGGGATGGAGCCAGTAAAGGTGAGTGTAGGTGGGGAGTTAGGGAGGGGATAGGTCAGTCCAGGGAGGACGGACAGGTCAAGGGGGCGGGATGAGGTTAGTCGGTAGGAGATGGGGGTGCGGCTTTAGGTGGGAGGAAGAACAGGTTAGGGAGGCGGGGACGAGCTGGACTGGTTTTGGGATGTGGTAGGGGGAGGGGAGATTTTGAAGCTTATTCATCGATGCTTGGGTGGAGGGGGACAAAGGTGAGTCCTTTACTGAGGACTGACCGTTCGTCCTCAGTAAGGGGAAGGTCTGGGGGGATGGTGAAGACTCGGCAGGGATGAGTGCTACAGTCTCCTCTGGAGCTGCTGGCTGTGGAGGTGGTGGGCGGAACGACATCGGCGATTTTGAAGTTTGCTGTTTATTAACAATATTGTTTTATCAAATTAAATATGGAACTATAATAATTCAACTGTATTTTAAACACAAAGTAACTCAGAACTGAAATTTTCTTGACAATCCTTACATTTTATGCAGTATTGTTCTAAATCTACAGAAAACTGCTTTATTAAAATTTGTATAAATGTAAGTACAGATCCATTTTCAGTAAGAGGTCAAAGCTTATTTTGACCAAAATATGATGTCACTGCGAGATTGATAGCTCATAAACAATTGATTAGTGGATTGTGATAATCAAAAATATGAAATAATGTTTTGAAATTTATCATTGACTTATCTTTACAAGGTGATACCAAAATCTGCCAAAAAAGAATAAATGTTATGACAGAGAGATAAATTTCATTCTCATTTCGAAAATTATCTAAAACTTATGACACTAAATCAATGCATCAAATAGCACAATAGAGCAAATGAAATGCACATGCAAAAGGAAGGCAAAGGAAAAATACCATTCAGAATATTCAATTTCACATGAATAAAACAAAGATTAATCCACATTAAATTTATCAAATCTCTTTTTTTTAATCCTCAAACACAGTACCTCTTCAAACAAAACAGCCAATTACACAAACTACGCATTTTTTACTATTATTTTGGTGTTGAACATAATTGCTAGTAATAACATTAGCATATGTTGGTAGAAGTAGTTTCAGCAACATACAAGTGTAAATGTACAACAGCTCTATTTGAAGGAGAAAAGACCATGCTTGGTGATGTTAGGGGATCTTTAGGGAAACAACATGAATGTAAAAAAATTCTTCTGGTATTGCATTAGGCAAGATCATGCAAGTAACAAAACTCAAAGGGTCACTAAGTACAATTTCATGTAAAATTTTCTAATACATGTATTTGCTTTGGCATTACTGAGAATATGATGAATTGATAGTACTTTCTCTTTTATACCTTACTATTCTAAATCAGTACATTCAAGTGATCATTGGAAAATGGAAAGTAAAAGACAAAAAGATATATCATATAATGATTCATAGCTTAATTTTAAAAATTTTATGCATATTCAGCCAAATTAGATAATATGAAAATTTTTAGTATCATTTTGATTACTGAGATACACATTAAATATTCAAGTCCTCTCGGTAATGCAGAGATGATACAACCCTCGCGTTATCTGATTGTAATGGGGAAGGCTGGATAAATTTGTACTCTTCGGTCTTCAAAATGAACTGAAAAAGTAGCTTGCAGAAGAATGTGAAACTTAAAATGACAGAGGAAGGATTTTAAGTTCAAAGTGGTGAAACAAAAATTTAGACTGATTTCAGCAACAAAAGAAGTAAATGGATTTCTGGATAGGGTGGGTGAGGCAAGAGAGGAGATAATTATATGCTATGATAAAAGGGCTTCAAAAGTTTTCTGGGAAGTTGATCTAACATGAGTTGAATGACCATTCACATCTGTGTGTACCTTCAACTTTTCTTTTGATGAAATTCAAATTTTAAGGTACAAAATATCCCATTTGGAGATCGGTTTATAAAATATTGGAAGAGAGAACAGTACAAGTATTCAGAGGAAAGGTCACTGGACCCGAAACATTAACTCTGATTGTTTTTCATAGATGCTGCCAGACCTGGTGAGCTTTTCCAGCAACTTGTTTTTGTTCCTGATTTACAGTATCCACAATTCTTTCAGCTTTTATTTAGTACAAGTATAATCTGTAATATTATTGTAAGGCACAGATCTCAAGTGACAACTTTTGAACAGAACATCTATTCTGGATTGTGTTGCCAGCAGAAAACATGTCATTTACTAACATACAAATTTTCTTGTTAGTTGTTCATGTACATATTGTGGTTGGTTTATCATTACAAATGACTGCTGAAGCATTGCACTTACCCCATCCAAATATACAAGATAGAATTCCGAACAGATCAAAAATTCTGAATTTCATATTTACAAACATTCCAGTGTTAATTCTGAAATTTCTTATAATTTCAGGCATTATATTGGCTTTTATTCATGATCTCATAAATCACAGAATTTCAGATTTTATGCTTATGAGATTTCACTTTCTCAACAAATCCAATATCTCACATGTAAGAATGTAATAAACTTTTGGACATAACCATAACTTAATGTTGGGGACTAGTCATTAAACATAACAAGGAATCAACTGCCCTTATTGATGTGAAGGTTAACTGAATGAAGTTTACACCTTCAGGGCAGTCTCTCAACACTGTTCATCAATTCATTGAAAGACTAACAGTATTTTAAGTTAGGCAATGTGGCAGATAAATTAAACCTGGAATTACATTATTGTAAGGAAGCAGTTTGTTGCCACTTTATTTTTATTGTTACTTGAAATATTTCTAAACTTTTAGAACTTTATAAATTTTTCACAAAATTAAATGAAAATATGTTTTCCACCTTGGACATAAGTTTCTTTTCATGTTCTTGCAGTTATTGCAACTCAACATGTACAATATGATCTTCAAATAGCTCATTAGACAACTTCAGTAGGTTACAGGATCATCTTAATTGAACTCTGAATGTACTTATCTCCATTGGATTCAGTTCTATGTCTCTAGTATTATTGTGATTTTGTGTTTCGTGCATTAAAGTCAAGGTTGATGGTGTTAGATGTTGAATTCTTAAGTCTCTGAAGAGATTGTGCACAGGAATCTGCAAAAAAAAAAAATTCAATAAGTTGAATAGAATTCAAGATACACATGGTTACAAATTTTCATCATAATTGCTGCAGGAACAGGGATGTGACATGCAACCCAAATATTTTCAATTGGTGCATTTCTATTTCTTCAATCTGTGGATGAATAGTACTTGTAAATTTTCTTAAATAATGTAAATCTCAATAATAACATTTAACCTTTCTAACTATAGAAACACAACTATTTTAACATTACCTTGCCCTGAGTGGTGGAACAAAATAGCCCAGTATTTTGGTTTGAAAATCGACAATCAAAACCCTTTCTGTGGATGATCAAGGCTGCTTCATCTGATGGAGTCCCATCGACCTGCAATGATACGTCATCTTTTTATTTGATCCAATTGTTTTTCTGTGTGACTGTGACAAGAATATTTGACGTACAGTAAAAATACTACTTAAAATAGATCAGAATTTTAAATTTTTTAGTATTTATAGTATTCCTGATTTATTTAAATTAATTGAACTTTCATACACAAATAGTTTACCTCCTAAACTTGGGGAATAAAGATAGAGATTACTGAGATATTGCTGATTAAACGTACCCCATCATCAAAGTGGTTTATTTTGAATACATATTGTTCAACATCAGTCCAAGAGGCTTAATTCTGGGATTTTTTTCATCTTTCTGACAGGAGATGGCATTGAATGCCAAATATTTTTCTGTCTTTGTTAAAGCTCTTTAGAACACAAGACAATTTTAAAAAACGTCACTCCTCCACATACTTGAAAAATCAACTCATCTTATCAATTCCAATCTCAGAAATTGTGGGCAGAAACTTACGGGGACTGATGGATAGAAGAAGACCGCAAAAGAAGTTGGTGTGAGCCAATAAATGCAGAAGATATTCTGCACCACAGCCATCAAACACCGCAGGCAGGCTAAATTAATACAGCGTCTTGTCAGTGCCAGAGCACCATGGTGAGCACAGTCGGCACTAAATAGAGGGCCATGACAGATTGAAACGTGGATCCAGATAAATAATGGGGCTTTGGACGGGGATGATTTGCCCATCTTAATGATAGATATGCAGGGAGTGAGTTTTAAAGTACAGAAGTAAAGAAATGGGGTTACTATCTACTCTGGTGAAGGCTGAGGGAGGTACCCCAATGGTGCTCTTCGCAAATACAACTGCCCTTCCATCCTGCCATTTAATAAACTTAACATAGAAACGAGTTGCCCACTCCAGCCTGACTGTCCATGGCCACCATATTAAGGCATGAGTATAGTAATTTTGGGGTCAGTTGAGCTTTAACAACCTCTATAACTTTATCCTAGTAAATTAAACTTCATGAATGAGCCTATTTTTCATAAAACAAATTCCTTAATGTTTTTCACAGTTGGACAAATAAATTTTGATGAAAATAACCCACACTAACTTTACATGTAATTCATCTTATTTTTAACACTATTCTGGGTGTGCAATCTTAAATTGAAATAGACAGATGTGACAATCACATTTCCATTTTTCAAAAGCAGGCTGCAGATATAACACCATAATCTCTCAGACTTCCACAAATTCTCACAAACTAAAATCTCAGCCTACTTTTTGACATACTTTCCAGAGGCTATGCTGTGTAAAGCAAGTTTGAGAGGGATTGCCCAAGTACAGAAATTATAAAAGTAGCACATGCCACATTGCCTGACAGAGTGGGTACCTGGCCTCTGGCCAGACAGTAGTTGGATGTCAAGTCTCTACACAAAGCACAAAGTTAAGATGCTGTTGCACTTTGATACTACTGCTCACACATTATCATGTGTCAAATCATGATTACATTGATTAAAACAACCAGTATCACCAAAAAGACATCATTTGAATAATTTCATAATTCGAGAAGATAGATTTAACAGGCTAATTAAGTAATAACTGGGCAGTAAAATTTAAATATCCAGTTAAGAGCCTACTTATGTTCCTATTTCTTATAGTTCCTTCTCTACCCAATAAAAATGCAATGACTTTTCTAAAAATTATCTATTTATTAATTTACATGATGGAAACTTTTTTAAGCTCAGAGCCTGTTTAATATAACCACTAACTGTGCAAAACTGTTATCTCCAGTTGGGTCTAGTCTCCAGTTTCAACCTTGTGTATTACAATTTAAGTTCTCATTTCTCATCCATTCTCATCCTTGAATCCTTTTATCAATACAAATTTTTTTTCTTCAGCAAGTGAGTAAATTCTTATAACCTAAAGGTCGACATCCTCAATTCATATATACTGCCCTAAACGCTTTGATATTTCTTTACCCCTTTATAGGTATGGTGCTCAAAACTGAATATGCTTATTGCAAATATGGACTCTCTATCTTTCTCCACAAAATCAAAATAAATTGCTTCAAGTCAATTGAAGATGAGAACTCGAGAGACATGTTGATGTGGTAGTAATGCCACTAGACGAGAGATCCAAAAGCCCAGATCAATTTTCTGGGTCCTAAGTTCAGATCTCACCACAGCAGCTGGTGGAATTCAAATTCAAGTATTACAGTCTGGAAGACAAGGTTAGTTTTAATAGCGGTGTGATAAAACTATTATTGCTTGTCATTCAAATCCATCTGGTTCACTAATGTCCTTTAGAGAAGGAAATCCATTATCCATACATGGTTTGGCTGACATATTGATTCCAGACCCACAAAAAATGTGGTTCACTTATAATTCTGACTGTCCTCTGAAACTGCCTAGACAGCTATTCAGCCAGCAGCATCCACATCCTCCGAGGGAATAAAAAGTTAAATGTGTTAGAGTTGTATTTGAAATGTACCTGTAGATATTAACATTTTTTATTATAGTTCCTTCATGAGGTAAACCTCTTGTGGACAAAGCAGCAATTTTTAAATATTGCAAACACATAATAATTCTTGTACAATAAAATAACTCCATCTATTTTTGAAATGACAGCTTTTATGTCATGACCTGCCTCACTCAGACATCTGATAAAATCTGGTGCCATTTCTTAAATGAAATCCTGAAATATTGCCAGAGTTGGACTCTGTTCTAAAAATGAGGCACGCTATGTTTAGGAGTGAATAAGTGCTGAAGCTGGCAGGGTCAGTTAATTTATTGGACTGCATTTCCTAAGGAGTGGAAATCTCACACACAGTGCCACTCTATCCATTCCTTTAAATTAAATGAGAGTTCTCCACACTTCTGACTGGAGATTCTGAACATGGTGCCTTCAGAAATGTAGAGATGTACTTTCATTCTGACAGTTTTCTCGTATTGCAGTACTGCTGGGGGAAAGAAAACCATATCCTTTTTTCACAGCAGCCAACTGCTGGACTCTGACATTTAAAGATCCAAAATCACAGACAACCACTTTGACAGCTGACCTTCATCAGCAAGTACATAAGTGAGAGGCTAGGGTGCTGTGAGGGTAGAGTGCCAGCTGTATAAGGAATGGGTTGCCAGGAGTAGGGCATAAGGTGGTTGGGAGAAATCAGGTCCAGCAGTGGGAAACGATACGTCACTCCTAGTGGTTGTAGAGGCAGACCAAGCCTGCAGTGGAGTAAGAAGGGTCAGGCCAAGTGGCGGTGGTGGATGGGGAGGATGGGGTCTGAGTGGAATCAGGTGCAGCAGGGAAGGAGCCACGGGACCCTGAAAGGGTAGAGGCAAATTGATTCCAGAGTGGGAGAAGGAGGCAACCTGGTTTGAAGTAGGGAAATGGGAGGTCAGATCCAGAATGAGTGAAGGGTGGGGGATATGGGGTTCAGGAATGGGTGAAGGGTGAGGGGTGAACACTTCTGTCTTGTTGGAGATAGTCATTACCTGGCAATTGTGTGGCATGAATGTTACTTGCCACTTTTCAGTTCAAGCCTGGATATTGGCCAGGTCTTGCTGAATCTGGACATGGACTTCTTCAGTACGAGCGGTTGTAAATGGTTTTGAAGAATATGTATCATCAGTGAATATCCCCACTTCTGACTTTATGTTGAAAGGAAGGTCATTGGCAAAGCAGCTGCAGATGATTGGGCCTAGAGTACTATCTTGAAGAAATCCTGCAGTGATACCCTGGTGATAAGATAATTGATTTGATTTGATTTCATTGCTCTCTAACAATCAATCAATCAATCTTTTGTGCAAGGTATGACTCCAACCAGCATACAGGCTGGTGATTTGCTGTAGAAAATGAAAAATGAAGCATCTAGATGCACAGTTGCATCATTCTCCTCCACCTCATTGAGAGATCTATACCTGCTACTTCTCCCTCTGGTGAAGTGTTGCCAGTAGTTTCTCTTCTCACCAATATTGCTGACAATATTGAAAATGCTCCTTCTTTCGATGTTGTCTAATCATTTGAAACAATACCACAATGCATGCAGCCATGGCGATGTCCATGTCATATGCTTGAGGAACTGTGAAATCTTTGTGAATGTCCAAAAGTCAAAACTGTTTCACTGCGAAGGGTGATGGAACATGGAGGTTTTGCTATGGAAGTTAATTTCACACCTCGATAAGGAGCTCTGGACTATGCAACCTTAATCAAATGTATTGTTACCACCCCAGGGCAGCAAGCCAAATCAAATCAGCCTAACCAACATTGGATTCATAACACAATGAAATTAAAACATTCAATGACCCTCAAAATTCCGCAATTGTTCCTAACCAGACTTTACAAATAGCAGATCAAGGACACAAAGTTTATCATTTTAACAAAAATTAACATTTTAATAATAATAATGTAACTTTAGTTGGACAAAATGAACAACAATCTAATTAATATCTAAGCCCAATCTCGAATACAAACCCCCACTCTCACACCAACAGAAAGACAGAGCAGTTAAGGGATAAATTAAAAAGAAAGAAAATAATAGAATTGAAATTTGCCAGCTTAATAACCATTTTAACAATGAATACCAGGCCTTCATAAAATCCTTTGATGATGTGTTGTATTACTGGCGTGTAGAATGCTATATCTTGCGTGATTTCAGAAGTCACCGGTCAATGGAAACGGCTTCTGCAGACCTCTGAAAATTTCTACTTATTTCTAATAGACTGGGGCTCTTTCCTTAGAACTTTCAACAATAAATAACTTGAGAATAACTAGACAGAGCAAAACCAAACAAACAAAAAACAGCTTTCCACTCTGCAGCTTCTAAAGCAAAACTGTCTCCTGCCCAAAAACCTTTGAACATCACAGACCATATCCTTGCATACTTACAGTTCAGTATGCAAATGTGGCAGCTTTGAAGCACATTCTTCCAGTGAGGGTTATGGAATGCATTTCAGAAATGCCAAACTCAGGTCACGCTTTTTAAGTTCGTGTCTTCTTACATTTACTCAGCTAAGGGAGAGATCTTATTCACCCTCCCAGC